CTGCTGGCCATAAGCATTTACTGCTTTTCAGTACACAGTTTAAAAATGAAGCGGTACTTCTTCATATGTCACATTGCCTAGTGTACTGCAACTATTTATGTTAATGCTGTTATATTGTCAAATTCATAAATTTAATGTTTAAATCCATTTATTCCAAATAGCACATTAGTATTTGAGCTCCACACAAGTATTCTCCATCATGATCCTTTTACTCTTGGGAATATATTAATTTTGTTTGTGAAAGGAGTGAGTTGGACTAAATGATCTCTAAGTTCCTTCTGTACCTGTGTTCCTATATTTTCTAAATGTGTTCCTGGTTTCATTCCATTCATATTTTCTTTTCAGTATTATGTGAGGTCAGTTCACAGAAAGTCAACAGACACTTACTATGTGCCAAGCACTATGTTAACTGCTGGGGATACAAAGGAAGGCATAATCACTGTCTCTGCCCTTAAGTAGTTCACATTCTAATGGATGCAAGATTAAAAAAAACTATATGTACAGTCAGTTGAGAAATACTCACACCAGTGATCTTTGAAGCACTGAACACATTTGAAGTGTACTTTAACTCACTGTCAGGTTTAAAGGGTACCATTAACAATAAATTTTGTTGATTTGTTAAAGAAGAGCAAGTGGACAAAATAGATACAAGAAGTTGCAAAATAGCAATGTATTTAAGATATACTCATATAGGGAAATCCAGAAACCCAAATGGGGCAGCAGTAGTGATTGAACCATGGTGGAGAGCACTAGAGTGAAGCTTAGCAGAGGGAGAAATAGAAGTAATATTATCATGGGAGTATATTAGAAACTACCTAAACAGAAAGAAATTTACCAGTGTGTTTGGAAAATACATGATAAACCTGTCAGGAAAACTTGATTTTATCTGTCAGTCGTCTATCTGGAATGGAGGACTTCAACTTTCCAAACTATTTCTTTGCCAAAAGCAGAACAGCTGATAAATTCTTGAATGCCATAAGTAATTTCATTTTAAGAGGTGGAGAAAATACAAGGGACACTGCTGTTTTAGACTTGTTTCTGGCGAATAAGCTGCTGAAGTAGGAATGATGTAATAGTTATTTATGTCCAGATTTTCCATCTTAGAATTCATGATAGAGAAACAGAGGAAAGCTGGACCTATTATGACCCATACTCTAGATTTTGGGAGATTGTATTTCAAAGGGTCATTAGAAAGGATAAGTAGAATCATGTGACCTAAAATTCTACGTGGGAAGCTCTTAGTGATGCAGTTGTTAAGACATAAATGCAAACTATTCAAACTAGGAAAAAAATATATGTCAAGATATGTGGATGCATAGGGAAGTAATTAACCAATTTAGATTCTAAGTACGCATATAGAATATGGAAGAAATTAGGTCAAGGAATAGAAGGAATATAAAAATAGAATACTGTAAGAAGAGTGTCAGGGGCACTACAATTCAGAATAATTCTATTTTGGCAATGAGTGCTATGGGCAACAAAAAGCCTTTATTTTATTTTTTAAATAATCTGTGCTGAGGGCAAATCAAAGAAAAGATAGGACAATAATGAACCATCATGAGAAAGTAGAACTACTACTTCTGTTTTCTGTGCCAAGCATAATGGTCCTTGAACTAGAAAGACAAAAATTTTTGAGAGGGAATCAAGATTCAAGATAAGGGAGTGGATGGAAAGAAAATTGAAGGTAACCTGCCATATGTTAATACATCACTAGGCCTGGACAAACTACATCATTGGGTGCTGAAAGAAATGACAGAAGCGATTATTGATCCTTTGTGATCTTTGAAAGATCATAGAGAATGGGAAATGTCTTATAGAATAAGTGATAGGCAAGTGTGATCCTGTGAGTTCTCAAAACTAAAGGCTTATTGAGTTTGACCATAATGATAGAGTCTAGAATTTTGCCAGGAATCAGAGGGGTGATTTGTAATTCTTTAGAAAAGGGAATGATAATCACTGAGAGCTAGTGACTTCATCATGAAGAGGTCATATCTTACTTATTACCTTTATTTTTTGAATATGCTAATGTGGCTGGGAGTTCAGAGGAATGCCACAGATATAGCAGTATTTCATGATATCATTGTTCACAAGATGTGGGTTAGGTGGATTCAAAGCTGATTCAATGACTAAATCCAAAGAAAAGTTTTTGGCCATATGGTCTCTAGTGGAATGCCTCATGGATTTGTCCTTCTTCAGTGATTTTATTGCTGGCTTGAAGGAGTATATGGGAAACTTTGCAAATTTGCAGATGACATTACCCTGACAGGGATATTACTAATAGAATCAAAATCTAAGAAAACCTTGACAGACTAGAACAAGTGAGTTAAATCTACCAAGATGAAATTTATTAGAAATAAATATTAAGTTCTTTACTTGAGTTCAAATAATTTCATAACTTCGAGATGAGAGACACATACCTAGACAATAGTTCACATGAAAAAAATTTGGGGAGTTTTAGTGGATTGGAAGCTCACAATGAGTCAACATTGGTACATGTTAAAAAAAATATCTACTGCTGTCCTAGGCTGCATTAAAGTATGTGTACGGCAGGAGGTTGGGGGTGAGTTAGTAGTCTCTCTGTGTCTAACTTAATTGGATCATATCTAGAATGAATACTATGTCCAGTTTTGAGTATCACATTTTAGGAAGGACAAACTACAACATGTCTAGAAAAAGGTAACCAGAATGGTAAGGGGACTGGAAATCATGCCACAGATGACTGTTCGGCAGAAATGGGGAAAATTTCTCTTTCCAAGATTACTAATTATCTCCTAATTGCAAACTCTAATGGCCTTTTCTTAGACCTTATATTTCTTGATCTCTCGTAAGTACTTGACACTGTTGACCATCCTCTCTTCCCTGGGTTTTGACAATGTTCCATTCTGGTTCTTCTCTGAGGCTAGATCATCATTTTTTTTTCTACCTTCTATATGAGAGGTTACCTCAGGGCTTTGCTCTGGACTCTTTTCTGTCTTTGTGCCCTATCCCAGTGATTTCATTAGCTTCCATGGGATCATCTATCACTTATGAATATCATAATGCAATTAAGTGGATTCAGAGCTACTTCAGTGGCTGTAACTGAAAGAAGTCTCAGATCTCTATATCTAGCCGGAATCTCCCTTCTGAACTCTAGCTGTGCATCACCACCAGCTTTTTGTAAATCTCTCCCTGGATGTTCCGTAGTCATCTCAAGCTCAGTATATCCAAAACAGAACTCATTTCTCCCCAAATCATCTCTTCTTTCTAACTTCCTTCTTTCTGTTGGGAGTATTGCCCAAGTTTGCTATCTGGGTGTCATCTTTGATTGTTTTTCACATCCAGTTGGTTGCCAAGTCTTGTCAGTTCTACCTCCGCAGTATGCATCTATTCCTCAACTTATTCAGCTACCATTCTATTTCAGGTACTCATCATCTCTTCCCCTGGACTTTTACATTATAGCTTTCTAATTAGTCACTTAGACTCCAATCTCTCCCCCCTTTCAATTCATTTCCCACACAGCTGTCAGATTAGGATTCTAAGGCACAGTTCTGACCATGTCATTCCCCAAATCCATTGCCACCTTCTTGGCTTTGTTTTAAAATATAAATTCTTTTGTTTGGCTTCTAAAGCCCTTCACAGTCTGATCCTAGTATACCTTTCTAGACTCATTCTTTCCTCTCTCTCCTTTTTAAAACTTCACGGACCCTGTGTTCCAGCATACTTGCTATTTTCTGTATACAGCGTTCCATCTCACAGCTTTGTTCTTTTGCATAGACTAGACGTTCCTAGCATGCATTCTATACTTCACAGAATCTCAATGCTACTTTCTACAGGAAGCCTGTGCTGATCCTTATGGTAGCTAGTTCCCTCCTTTGGGAAATTACTTTGTATATATTTTGTTTCTACTATTATGTGTAAATGCTAATTATTTGGATAGAATGTAAGTTCCTTGGGGGAGGGGATTTTTTCCTTTTTTGTCTTTGTGTCTCTAATGCCAGGTACACAACTGGTACTTGTTTTATGTTGTTGAATAAATGAATGAGAAGAAAAGACCAGGATTCCAGGGGAACCTGATATTTTTCTCCTACTGTTTAAAAGACTGACATGAGGAAGAGTGATTAGATTTATTTTGACTTGTGCTAGTGAGCAGCACTATTTCAGTGTGTGTAAGTTGTGTAGAGCCAGATTTCAGCTTGAGAAAAGGGGAAAATTCTCAAGAATTAGTGCTCTCTGGAAGTAGAATGGGTCTAGCTTGGGAGATAATGGGTTCCCCACCTTCAGTGGGGAATAGCAGAGACTATTGGTGATGAGGTAGAAAGGATTCTTGGTCAGGTATCAGTTGGACTGAATAGCCTCTGAGGTCCCTTCTGACACTTAGGTTCTTAGAAGAACAATCTCTTTCCATTCTGGCTAGTATTCAAATGTTAGGTGACCCTTTGGTCATCCACTAAAGTAAATTCAACCCATAAAATCATTGAAATGTCCTAATTGTATTAAATACCTAACCACCATTTGTAATATTTCTGTCCAACCAGAAATTCCCCAGTAGTGGGAATGGGGACTATGGTATCAGTTCCAGTTCTCTAGCAGTGATTGGTGGAGCCTGTCTATAAGGACTAATTAGTTCACTATGAACTTGTCCCTTCTCATGCTGTGTCTTCAGAATTTGAGTTTGGACCCATACGCAAGAGAGCAATGAAATAAATACCGAAGTTATATCCATCTTTTGTCGTTTGAAAAACCTCTTACAAACAAGCCTACTTGGAGTAGCTCACATTTACCTAGCACTATAAGACTTAAGAAATCACTGTTCTCACAGCAGCCCTTCTTTTCATAGAAAAAAATAAACAAAATCTCAGGAAAAGTTGCATGTTTTGCCCAAGGTCACAAAGCTAGTAAGTGACAGAAGAATGGATTTGAGTCTTGACTCTTAGCCCTGTGTTCTTTTTAGGATTTTTCACCATCTGTACTTGAAAATATTAACCTTAAACCTTTTCCCCCTACTTTTCTCTTCTCAATAGGTATCTGGAACAAGTACAGCAGTCCCGGGCAGTTCTGGAGTTGGAACGACTAGACAGTTTACGCGACAAAGGATAACACGGGTCAACCTCAGGGACCTCATATTTTGTTTAGAAAATGAGCGAGAGACAAGCCATTCACTATTGCTATACAAAGCATTCCTTAAGTAAAATGGAAAAGATCAAGGTATTTTTGATGGAGACGCCTGGGGACGTTTTTATATATTTGCAGATTACGCCTTTTTTGTAACAAGCAAATGGGATATTGTTTAAAAAACAGCCACCTCTTTACATGGAACAGTTTTATATTCCTGTTTATAAATCAACTCTTCAGTATGAGAGAAAGTCCATTTCTGTAACAGTGAGAATACTTACAAAGGCCTGTGGATATTATTAAAGGACAATTAAATCTTAACTCATCTTTGATTGAGTGGCCTTCTTGCCAAACAAGCCATATATAAAGACTGATGGAATCGTTTAGCAAATAATTAGCTGCCCTTTGTCAGACTTGTAGCAGTTACAACATTATTTGTGCATTTTAGTTCAGTTTGACTTAACTATACTTACTACATAGGTATATATGTCAACAGCCGATGACCTCATTTCACTTTTCTATTTTATTTTTTAAATAGTCAGTTGGCAAAGCAAACTGATTTTTAGACTATTTATCTTCCTCCCTTCCCCAAAACGTTCAAAATTCAAGAGGAATATTCAATTAATTTTAGAAACATAACCTCAGTTTTTAATCACAATACTGCTTATTCGAGGCCCTGAGAGTCCATAAAGGAGGGTTCCTTCTGAATGTGTTATTAGCATCTGTAAAAAGCATTTTATTTGCTATAGTTTGTAAAGCTGTAAAGTTAAAAGAAAAATGAAAACCTTTTCAGCATAAATATATTTTACTTGCACTGTGTTTTTTAGCTAAAAGTGAAAGCTTAGATTAAAAAAAAAATCAAAGTTGAGAAGAATCATCAAAAGACTGTTTCTCAGTGTGAATCAAGTGTTGAAAAATGGTTGGTGTATTTTGTCAGTAATTGTACATAATTTTTGGCACATAACATAAAAATGGCTATGTAAACTATAATTATTTTGCTAAAAGACTGTATGCAAGCTGTGGGCCAACTTTAAAGATGTCCAGAGCAAAGTCCCTTCTTTGTACCTATTTTTTTATTACAAATATACTAATTGGTTCTTTATATTTTCAGAGGTTATTGTATTAAATTGTCTATTGATAGTACTTTTATGACTGTAAATACTTTGGCTTTCTTTGTGTGAATTTCCATGTTAGACTCTCTCTCCCCCTCTTCCCTACCCCTCGCGTGTAAACTGAATGCTGATCAGTATTTTTATCAATACCTGACAACTGTTACACCTTTTATTTTGTCTTTTAGGAAATCCTGTCTTTCCATTTTTTTCTTGTAAATTTTGCACAGTTACTTGTTCATATGTAAATATTTTACTTTCAAAAATGAAGTTTTTAATGGCTATTGTTTTATATAGGATTGAAAGAAAATTAACTCCTTTATTAAAAACAAATTTATCTGTATTTGTTCCATCTGGTTTTGCTCTCATTTTATCTCTAGCACTTATTTTACTCTTCTCCAGATTTAGAATCTACTTGGAGGTAGGGTTAGGACCTTAACTCTGTTTCTAGATAAGTCATAGAATTAAAGCGTTGGAGAGAAACCTAGAAATCAATTAGCACAATGCCCACATTTCTATCACTTTGCACTTTAGTACAAGTATTATTAACCATGTTTTTCTAACAAGAAAAGAAGCTCATGAAGAAGTAACTTGCCTGAGGTCATACAATTATTTGTAAAGGAGATAAGTTGCTATGAACACACTCCCCCCCCCCATAAGTGTTGATAAATGAGTAATTTTATGAATGCTGCTAGTTCAATCCTTTTTTTTTTTAAAAATGGCAGTAAGAATAGAGACAGGGAGCCCTGGAGACACAAATAGAAATAATTTTGCCTCTAAAATCAGTTGAGAAGAATGAAATGGTAATAATTGCATAGCACTTTAATAGAGTACTTTAAAGTTCACAAAGAACTTTCTATACCTTCTCATTTGATCCTCATAGCCATGCTTTGAACAAAGCAGGATAACTGTTATTATTCCAATTTTCAGATGAGCAAACATGTTGAGAGAATTTAGCTGACTCATCTAGGGTCTTATGGATGTTAAGGGTCTGAGTTCAAATTTGAACGTTGGTCTCTGGATTCCAAGTCTAGCACTATGCTATGCTGCCTGTCGTTGGTATCTTCATAAGATCCATTTGCACCAAAACTACCTAATATTCACGTGAAGAGTGGAAAAAACCATGCTAACCTTAGAGAAAAATAAGTCCAGAAACTTTATCTAGTCTTATTATCATCATTTTTATTAATGACTCCATTCCTATAGCACTTTGTAACTCTTTAGGTTAGAGCAACTCTATGAGCTAAGAGGTGTGAATGGTATTCCTATTTTATAGATTAGGAAGTAGGTTCAGAAATATGTAGTGACGTGTCTGTTATTGAATGTCAGCAGAGACTTGGGTTTAGCTTTGAGATTGGGGAGAATATGCATACAAATTCTATGTAAATTTCTATGTAGTATTATCTCTTAATTATTATTATTTTATAGCTAATTTAGTTCAACAATTTAGTTCATTAAGTGGCTACAATATGCATAGAACTGTGTTAGGTACTGGGAATACAAACCATGATATTGTCTTTGCCCTCAAAGAGCTTATATTCTAAATTGAATGCATCATCTCCCCACCCCCATAATCTCTCCTAATTTCTCTATTTCTGTTGAGGGTGTTACATTTCTTTCAGGTCACCTAGTTTTGTAGTCTTAGTTATCTTTGATCCTTCCCTGTATTTTACCTCCCAGTCAGTTGCCAAGTCCTGTCAATTCTGCCACCATACCTGTTGTATCTATCCCTATCTTTCCCTTCATCATTACCCTAATTCATGGCCTTAAACACTTTTTTACTAGATTCCTGAATTAGGCTGCTAGGTCTCCTTTCCTCCAGTCTTATCCCTTCCCAATCCATCCTTCATAAAACTTTGAAAATAATTTCCCTAAGAAATAGGTTTGACCATATCACTCCTCAACTCAAATCCAAAACTCAAATCAGGATAAAATACAAATAACCTGATGTATAAGGTCTTCCACAATTTAGTTTCCACCTACCTTTCTAAGCTTCTTTCCTTTATTTCCCACACACTGCAGCTAAGCAAGACAACTAGTCATTGGCCAAACTCAACATGCCATCTCGTGCTTCCATGCATTTTTATAGATAAATACCTCAGGCTGGATTTAGAATGTACTTATTTCTGCCTCTCAGATTCTGCTTCCTTCAGGACCTATCTCTGATGCAAACTCCACCATAGATTGTTCTCTCATTTCCCCAGCTGAAAACTTTTAGTACACTTACGTCTGCAGCCTTCCGTTTTTTCATCTGTAAGATGGGGACAGCTGACATTTACAAAGTGCTTTAAAGCTTGCAAAGCATCTCACATCCATGATCTCATTTTTTCCTCACAACAGTTGCTTGAGGTAAGTAATACAGGTCTTATTATATTCATTTTGCAAATGAAAAAACTGAGGTTGACAATCAGCATTTATTCAGCATTTACTATGTGCAAGAACATTGTACTAAGTGCTAGGGATACCAAAAACAGTGTCTGCCTCTCCTTTAATGGGAGACACAACATTCAGACAATTATGTAAGTACAACATACATACATTGTCAATGAATTTCCTGGAGAAAGCACTGACATTAAGTAGGAACAAGGAAGGCCTCATACAGGAGAGAGGATTTGAAATGAAACTTGAAGGAGGGGAGCTACGAGTATGAAAAAAGATGGGAGGACATTCCAAGCATGGAGGACAGCCAGGAAAGAGACAGACTTGGGAGATGGGGTGTTCTGTGCTAGGTAATAGCTCAAAAGTTTGTGTCACCGGATCCTAGAGTACATTGAGCACAAAGTATAAAAAGACTGAAAAGGTGGGAAGAGATCAAGTTATAAAGGGCTTTAAAATCCTAACAATTGATTTTATATTTAATCCTAGAGGAAATAGAGAGGCATTGGAGTTTGAATTGGGTTGTGTGTATGTAACACAGACTTGCAGTCTAAGTCATTTTGGAAGGTTAGTGGAAGATGGATGGAAGTGAGAAAGATGAGGCAGGGAGACCCAGAAAACAATTGAAATAGCCCAGGAATGAGTTCATGAGGGCATGCTCCAGGGTGATAGCTCTGTAAGTGGAGGGAAGAGGACATATTCAAGAGATACTGTGAAGGAAGAAACTGTGAGACTTGGCAACATAGTGTATGTGTGGGTTGAAATTAAGTGAGAAGTCAAGGATGACAAAGAGGTTGTGTGCCTTGGTGACTACAAAGATGGCAGTGTCCTTGACAGAAATAGGAAAGTTTAGAAAAGAAGAGTGTTGGGAAGGAAAAATAATGATTTCCATTTTGGACACATTGAATTTGAGACGTTTATGGGATATCCTGTTTGAGATATTCAAGAAATAGCTAGTGAGGTGAGACTGGAGGTCAGGAGAGAGGCTAGGGCTGGATATATAGATTTGGGAATCATATATCTAGAGATATAATTATAAACCCATGGGAACTGATGAGATCACCAAGTACAAAGGCATGAAGGGAAAAAGAGAAAAGGGCCCAGGAGAGACCCTTGGGGAACAACCATGGTTAGAGGGTGTGAAATAGATGAAGGTCCGACAAAAGAGATTGGGAAGTGGTCAGACAGATAGGAGAAGAACCAGAAAAATGCCACAAAACACTAGAGAGGAGAGAGTATCCAGGAGAAGAGAGTGATCAATAGTGTTAAAGACTTTAGAAAGGTCAAACAGGGAGATGAAGGTTGAGAAGAGGCCATTAGATTTGGAGCTCAACATATCATTAATAACTTTGAAGACAGCAGTTTGAATTGATGAGGTTGGAAGCCAGATTACAAAGGGCTTCGAATTGAGTGAGAAAGGTGGAGGTACTGAGTGTAAATGGCTTTCTCATGGAGTTTAGCTATGTTAGAGAGAAGAGATATAGGACGTAGCTAGAAGGGATGGTCTAGTGGAGCAAGTGAGGGTTTTTAAAAGCGTGGGGGGTGACATGGGCCTATTTGGAGGTGGTCAGGAGGGAGACGAGTGTGGGGACCTACTAGAAAGATAGGATGGAATGGGATCAAGGGTATATGTAAAGGGGTTAGCCTCAGCAAGGAGAAGGATTATCTTTTGATGTGAGACAAAAATGAAAGAGGAGATGTCAGGGAAAGAAATATGAGTGACTGGGGCAGGACACAGAAGAGAAAACTCTTGGGAAATGGTCTCAATTAGAGAGGTTAAATATCTTGTCTAGAGTTACAATGCTTGTGAATTTCTGATGTGATATCTGAAACTAGGTGTTCCTGACTCCAAAGCTAGCACTTTATCCACTATGCAACTGAATCACACTAGTTTTCCAATGTTTTATCTTGGCATAGAGGTGACCCTAGTTTCTCAAAGGTTATACGGGGTCTACCAAGCTGGAGTGACTTTAAATATATACTATTCATGTAAGTCTGTTTTCTGAGGATCCACCTAGCTAAGCTCATCACCATGTTGGCCACAGAGCAACAAATTTTTCAGCAGCAGCAACTACTGAAGACCATCTACTAAGTTATAGAGAGATGTGATATGTTCTAGTAAAGAGAGCATCCAAATTGATTAAATTACATATTGTTAATGTCATTTACTAAAATTATTCCAATATCTAGTCATTAGAGTAATGCAATGGAGTCCTAGTTTTGGAACTGGTAGAAAGTAGAACTGGAAAGATTTGACAATTTGTTGGATATAAATCCAGTATACAGTGAGGGAGATTGTGGAGTCAAGTTGCCAGCGTTGTGAGCCTGTGAAACTGGAATGATGGTGGTGCCTTGGATGGAAATAGGAAAGTCCAGAAGAGTTTAAGCCTTCCTTCCAGCCAGGCTTGCTTCCTTCCTGTTTTGATTATGTTGAATTTGAGATATGTTTGGGACATCCAGTTTGAAATGTCTAACAGATAAAATGTCTAACAGGTGATGTGGGACTGAAGCTTAGGGGAGAGATGGGCTCTGTGTGTGTGTGTGTGTGTGTAGATATATATTGACATCAACATCTAGCCTTATGTCACTCCTGTCTATGTTAATGTTAATAGAAATATGTGTGTGTATCTATCTATCTCACTATATGCTTGGATCTAACTGTCTGCCTCTTCCTCTTTCTTTTCATCACACCCAATACTCCAACTTCCATCTCTGTGCTTTTTCATTGATCATCCCCCATGTCTGGAATGCACTTCCTTCATATCTTGGTCATATAGAGTACTTCTCTTTCTTTAAGATAACAGCTCAAACAGTATTTTCTACATGGAGCTCTTACTCTCTCTCTCTCCCCCCACCTTCCACCACTGTTAGTTCCCAAATGAGCTTGTATTTAACTTCTTTGTATATATTTGTATTTACACACTTTCTATTTATATTGAATGTATTGATTGTATCACATGTTACAGT